CGCCAGGGTTTGCGGCAGCTTCCCTGGTGCCAGGACCCGAATGCAGGGTCGACTGGCTGCCGGGACTCGGGGCGTACGAGTCGTCCGGCCTGCCGGCACCCGCACGCAGGGGCCGGCCGTACTTTTATAACGCCCGTCTCAGGTGGGTGGATGGGTGGGTGGGCGACGTGGGTGTGGGTGTGGTGCGTACTTCGTGATTTGGGTTCAACTAGTGGTCGTGGAAAAAGGCCGCAGGGCCGCAGCGCACGTGTCGCAACGAGGCCTTGTGACTTTTGGGCAAAATAATGACATTTGGTGTTTTACCCCCCTCCCCCCCGTGTATGCTGCCGCCTTACCTATCCCCTCTGGCCGTTTCCCCCTTTATCACGCACCTCCTCTTCAGGTGCGGCTGGGGCATCAACCTGTGCGCCCCAGTGGCACCGAGCGGGCGTTGCTGATGATGGGCCCGGCTGAGGTGGGTGCGGATGGGCTTGGGGTTTTGGTGCATGGGGTGTGCGTCGTGGGGACCAGCAGCGGTACCCTTGCTTGCAACTGTCACCTAATTATGTGTGTGTTAGTTGTGTCGTACTGCTAACCGTATTTTGGCTTCCCGCGCCCTTCCCCCGCCTTGTCCCTTTTCCTTCAGGTGCACTGCTGGGTGCAATTCCTCCGCACCCAGCTGCACCCAGCCGGGCGCCGCCGCTGCTGGCCAGTTGGCTGGCGGCGGCGGCGGCGGCGGCCGCGGCGGCATATAGCCGCAACTATCAACTGCTGTAAAGGCCATCGGCATCATGATCATCATGATCATGATCATCATCATCATCGTCATCATTATAATCATGGTCATCATCATCAGTTGCCGCCATTCTTGTTGGCTTGATAACTTGTTGGCTGCATGCAGCGCCAACTACGAGCAATGACCGAACGAATGGTGTCGTACAATAAACGCCATACCGGCCGTATAACGGTTAATAATAAAAATATCAATAAGTGGCGAATACAGCAGTTCTGAAAACAGATCGAGTGATCAACGTTAATAATGACCAACGGTTTCGGTGGA